ACAAAATATACACGGTATCAATGTCATAACTTCAACGAGTAGAGGCCGACTGTGGCTTGGCCAGGGCGGCAGTAGTAGTGGTAACGGACCTTGACCACGCAGGTGCTTGTTGTGATCAGGATTGTGCAAGGTTTTTCCACAATACGCCCTATTTTCGAGGAGGAGATTGTTGGCATTCTTAAAGTTTACATATAAATCCACAAGCGCATAGATATTATTGTAACATTTCATTGGGAGTATTTTATGTATCGTTATTTGTTTTTTCACGGGGAAGGTGTTGGTATAAAGTTGAAAGCATCTAGGCTCCTAATTCGGTTTTGACCATTAATGATGACACAATTATTGTGACTAACGTGTGTTTTATAGATACAATTTAAGTTAGGCCATAATGATGATTGATGATTGGGCAATCAATGGTTTTCATGCCTCTATTGATGAATTTCGTTTCAATTTTCAATGGATATTGGATAGAGTTAAGTACAGACTAGTTCTAAGTGTCATATGAAGTTGGAAGACACTTAGAGTAGTTTATGACTTTGTTTGCCCTTTGACCATACAATATAACGGTGGGTATAAACTAGTAGCTTGACCTAGGGGAGTCTAGTGAGTTAGTGTGGTGCACACTTGTGAAACTTAGCACTAGGTAGCTTAGAGGAAGCCCAAAAGTCAATTGGAAATTAGCCATATTCACATAGATGGATTGAATTGGAAATGAATAGGCAAACCTTAGTAGCACCGAATTAATCTGGTGTCCTTGCAAAGGGATCACCGGATTATGCACTAGCGGGTTTCAGCTAAGGTAAGCTGAACAGTGAGGTTCTAGCTTCACTGAATTGATTCGGTGCTTAGACAACGGATCATATGGTGATGTCCAGAGAGATTCTAGAGAGGTAAATGACCACTGGATTATGCGTTACTGAGGGTTTGGCTAGTCTGAAACTAGTCATTGAATAGGCACCGGATTAGTCCAATGCTCTGTTCAAATGGCCACTGGATCATCTAGTGGTGTTAATTTCTATGTAGTGGGTTTCAAACGCTAGTTGCTTGTGTGGGCCTATTTATACCCCTCCATCTTAGACATATAAGCTCTCTTGCTACTTTGAACAATTGGTTATGGTCACTGGTGAGCAAGGGGGAGTTCAAGCTTAATTAATAGAGTGATTGGGAATTTCTAATTGTAATATTAAGGACTCCATTAGTGCTAAGAGAGTAGCAAGTGTGCATCCACTCATCTCATTAGGCTTGGTTAGGTCAAGTGAGAGTTTGTGCTTGTTACTCTTGGTAATCGACATCACCTAGATAGCTTCTTGGGGATTGGAGCTTGGTGATCTCTCGATGGAGTTTGTGAGAGATCCAACCATGTTGTGAGCGGTTGCGTGCGATTCACCATATCATAGAGGTGAAGAATCTGCTCATAGAGAGTACTTGGTCCTTACATGGATCAACGGGAGCTATACCGTTGCGCAAGTGCTCCAACAAGGACTAGCAGGGTGTGCTGACTCTGATACCTCGAGAAAATATCTTCGTGTTCCTAACCCTCTATTAACTTTGAACATTTATATTTGTGCAATTAATTTCATGAACATTTATATTTGTGCAATTAATTTCATGTCTTTACATTCTTTATTAGTATTTCCATGCTAGTATAGGGTTCAAACTAGGGTGCAAAACGTTATGCATAGGATAGGAAAAAAATTATGTACAAGGGGTAAAATGGGCTAAGTGATAGGTTTTAATTTTGAGAGAATTTTAGGTTAGCCTAATTCACCCCCTCTTGGACATCTTGATCCTTTTAGTTGGTATCGTAGCATCATGCTCTTTGGATTAGGCTTCACCGCCTAGAGCAGGATGTCCGACGGGGATGGGCGCCCTCCCATGTTCGAAGGAGATGATTTTTCTTATTGAAAATTTTGTATGGATATGTATCTAGAGACCTTAGACGTGGGAGAGTTTATAGACACCATAAAGGCTTCCTAAAACCTAAGGATCATGTCAACTTTGTTGATGATGAGGTAAATCACGAAAAGTGGAATGGAAAGGTCAAAAACACCCTCTTTAGATGCCTTTGCAAAGAGGTGTTCAATCGTGTACATAACCAAAAGGACGTCCATGCACTATGGTCAGATATTTATGCCCTCTATGAGGGAACCAAGTGTGAGCTTGAGGAATGTTATCACCTTGTTATAAAAAGTTAAATTCTTTTAAGATGCTTCCTCATGAAAGTGTTAATGAAATGTACACCCGCTTATAGTTTGTGTCATCAAATACAATTGGCTTAATCGTGATAGCAAAGCTAGATACCGAAAAGTGCTTGCCAGTTTCTGGATTGTTAGATGTTTAGGCAAATTCAAGTAGACTTCGTTCGGCTTACCTTATATTCGGCTTATTCGGCTTCTTTTTTTAACTAGAACAGTGTTTTTCTCTCACAACATTTCAGGCAGAACAGTGTTTTTTAGCTAATTTCAGCCAAGTTTCAGCAAGCCGAATGGGGCCTTAATAGTAAGGTTTGTAACAAGCATGTTCACGTGTGGTCTACTCGTTGAAACCATACTGGTCACATAAACAAGAAACAAAGGGCGTGTTTGGTTCACTGCCCACCGGAGCCAGGCTTGTAGCAGAGAACCAGGCTCTCTACAGCCAGGCCAAACGCATGCAAGGTCTCTACGTTTGGTTACTTGTGTCAGTCCAAACAGGCTGCAGACAAACGTTGTTTGGTTGTCCGGTCCGGCACTGAGCTGATGACTTTTTTGCCGCGCACAGCCTCTCCACATGCACCTCGTGTATCAGGCTAGCCTGGCCGCCGGAAACGCTTGATTTCCCCGTATCTGCAGAGCCTGGCTGAAGGACACTTTTTGCACCATGCGGGCCAGGCCCAAACATCGACACAGGTAACCAAATATTCGGTTGTTGCATCCCACGAGCCTGGTTGAGCCACGTACAGAGAACCAAACATGCCCAAAGAAACTGAAGGTGCGCTGTTATAACCCGATGAGGCACAAGTGGCACCGTTCCCACTAGTAATCTCAGGTGATGCAGGACGAGGTACACAGTGCAGTGAGAGACCACCTCCTTTATGAGCTAGCGGACAATGGAGACCAATATTGATGTTTTGGAATTTCAGATACTGCGAGGCAAATGGAGACCACCACCTTTTTTGCGCCAACGAAGGAAGACGGGGTGACGCACGTGGACACTTGCAATGTCACTAGGAGTAGGATTTCATGTACCACGAGACAAAAACTTCCTTTGGTGTTTCTTTTAAGAGAGACCATCAACCGGCCAAAGTGACATGTCCGCCTCTTTTAACTTGCCAACATTTTAATATACAAGCCATCTATTTAAGTTAAATTAATCGTTATTAGTTAAATTCTTGCACAGGATAAAGTGTTTAGTGCACCCAACCTTTAATATGGACCTTAGAATCTGGTTAGTTTTAATTGAATTAAAATAGACCAAGTCAAAATTAGCATCGAACAAGTAGAAGGTTATGATAACCCGCTGGTGGGGACAATCGCCAAATCTAGATTGATATTATTTGATTTGCAAATTAAACAAGATCATCCGTAAGATTTTCTTGCGCAGCTATGACTATGACCTATGCAAGTATGCAACGTTCACTATTTTTGTACTTTCATTCATAGATCATTGTTTTCATTCGTATGAACTGATGATAGATCAGTTGGTTAGACTCCTTGTGGTGGAACCTGTCCACCTGGGTTGAAGTCCTCGACTTGGCATGGGTGCTGGATTTATTTTATGATTTAACGGCGTTATGCTTTCAGTGGTAGACAACGTCTCTGTCGACAGCGAGACGCTGTGGTGACTTTGTGAATCTCGAGATCTGTCGGCTCAGTACTTCAGAGGTACTCATAGAGGTAGGGTTCCCATACGTACATTCATAGGTGTAAGTGTGTGTGCTATTGTTGTGGACGTCTGCATTGTACTGTATAATTCTCGAAAAGATATTAATCAAGGGCCCGTTTTCAGTTTAGGCCTGTATATAACTCCAAATTTTCAGGATGGGCACTGGATGTTTCCGGGCCGTTGCAGCAGATCCCGTTGCTGAATGTTTCCGGGCCGGAATTGCGAGCGCGGGGTGACAAGGCAGAGTACTCCCCTCCCCTCCCCTGACCGACGGAAGAGACGCTGCTAACGTGGTTCTACTCTCGCCGTCGGTCATCGTTGCGGCGGTCCAAACACGCACAGTACAGCCTTCATGACCGACGGCGAATATTGCAGGAGCAAGTCAATATGATTGGCACCAGCAACACCAAGCTGCAAGCCCGGGAGCAAAGCAGAACTGAAGCCGCCGTGCCACCAACCGCGGCGCACGCGTTGCATCGTGCCGCTGCGACGCGATTTGCCTCCTTATTTGTCGCTTTGCCACACGGCCGGCACGGTTTCGCCGAGAGGACGCCTCAGGCCCTCCTCATCAGCTTGTGATGATTAATTATATTAGTATAATATAATTGGTGCTCTGTCGTATTTCTAACATCATCATGCGTGCACATGCCCAAAGTCGCATTTTTCAGCCATGATTATGTACTATTTGATTTTTAGGAGTTTTTATTTCATATAATATAAGGGAGCCTTTTTTAGGATTAGGACGGGTTCGGGTAGGTAGGTACTCTAGGTAGTAGGAACACATTTGGTGATATTGACGAAAGCGAGACATCTAAATGTTCATAATTTTCTACTACTAGAAAAAGTCTACGCTTGTTTCGCCGCGTACTAGCGACGTCTGCCAGGAATTTAGCGGTGGATTCGGCAAAATTGGGCGCCAAACTCCCATCTCTACCCTGCTGAATGTTGGCACGTGTTCACTGTTGACCCTGACGGCGTGGGCCCGCACCGACTGCTGCGCTAACCGCGTGCCAAACCCGAGAAGCCCTTAAAAAACAGACCAACACCAGGCTTCTCTCTACGCCGTCGCTGCGCTCCTCACACAAACCGCAAGAAGCCAAGAACCCGATCCGCCGGCTTGGCCGTTGCCGGTCGCCATGGAGCACTACGAGCGGCTTGGCAAGATCGGGGAAGGTACGTCGGGGATCGTCTACAAGGCCCGCGACCGCCGCACCGGCGAGACCGTCGCCATCAAGCGCCTCCGCGCCGGCGCCGGCAACGGCAACGGCGAGGGCGACGCGTTCGACGAGACGTTCCGCCGCGAGGTGCGCTGCCTCGAGGCGTGCCGCGGCCACCCCTGCCTCGTCGAGCTCCGCGCCGCGCACCGAGACCCCGCCGGCGCGTTCCTCGTCATGGAGTACGCGGGACGGAGCCTGGCGGAGGCCATGCGGCTGCAGCAGCAGGACCACCACCGCGCCGAGCCCGAGCGGCGGCCGTTCCCGGAGCCCGAGGCGCGCCGCGTGATGCGGCGGCTCCTGGAGGGCGTGGCCGCGATGCACGCGCGCGGACTCCTGCACCGGGACCTCAAGCCCGACAACGTCCTCCTCGACGGCCGCGGGGGCGTCAAGATCTGCGACTTCGGGCTGTCGCGCGCAGCGGACAACGGTACCGGCGGCGCGCCGTACACGGCGGGGGTGGCGACGCTGTGGTACCGCGCGCCGGAGCTGATCCTGGGCTCTGCGGACTACGACGCGGGCGTCGACACGTGGGCGCTCGGCTGCATCATGGCCGAGCTCCTCGCCGGCGGCGCGCCGCTGTTCCCCGGGAGGTCGGAGATGGACCAGCTCAACAGGGTGTTCGACACGCTGGGGATGCAGGACATGGTGTCCTGGCCGGGCTTCGCGCGCCTGCCACGCGCCGGGTCGCCGCTCTGCCGGCGCGGCAGGCCTCCCAGCAGGCTCCGGGAGCTGTTCCCGGCGCTGTCGGCTGCCGGGTTCGACGTCTTGGCCGGGCTGCTGGCGTGCAGGCCGGACAGGCGCCTCACCACCGCGGACGCGCTCCGGTGCCCGTGGTTCGCCGATGCTGCCGCGGCGGCGCCTGAGGCCTTGCCTGATCAGCCGCGCGCTTCGTGCTGCGCCGGCAGCTTCGCGGGCGGTGTCGCTGGTGTTGCCGAGGCAATCCTAGCGTAGAACATGAGAATTTTTTTTTTCGAAGAGCCGAACATGAGAATTAAGAGACATGTCATTCTTTGATTGATTGATCGTTTGTAGATTATTAAAGGTTACTATTTTTCTTTATGAAAAGTGCAGTATATTTTAAGTTCGACACCGTATCGATTGCATTCATTTGATGGCAATTCTCTATAACCTGTTCTTGACTTACTAAAGATTAAAGAAATATGTTCAACGTGCAGAAACGTTTTCCATACATGTCTTGTTTTTTTTTTAATGTCAGAGAACGCTTTGTTCGTCTGTTGGATTGTCATCATCTTTCATGGTTGGTGAAATGGTACCTATTCAAGAAATGCTCTAGGGCCTTTGTTTAGATGAGGGTTAGGATTTAGTATTTGACACTGTAGCATTTTTGTTTGTATTTGATAATTATTGTCTAATTATGGCCTAACTAGGCTCAAAAGATTCGTCTCGTAATTTATAATCAAACTGTGTAATTAGTTATTTTTTTATCTATATTTAATACTCCATGCATGTGTCAAAGATTTGATATAATAAAGAGAGAGTGAAAAAACTTAGAATCTAAACAAGGCCTAGAACATGCAACTGGTTGGTGAATTAATGTCCTTTCCAAGCCACAATAGCATATACTTCTTCAGACAACCAAAACATCAACGACAAGCCATGTGGTTGCACATATATATATATATATATATATATATATATATATATATATATATATATATATATATATATATATATATATATATATATATATATATATATATATATATATATAACCATGCAGCCCGAGCCTGTCGGCCCGGCCCAAGGCCTGTTTTTTAGCTTGTGCCTAGGCCTTACCCCAGGCACGTGGGCCGACACGGCACGGCCCGCTCCTCAACGGCAGGCCCGCAGTCGCGTGCGCCCCTGCTCGAGTATATAAGCGGGGAGCGTCGGCTGAGCCGCTCGCCCGCTCCCAACCGTAACCCTAATCCCCACTATCTCTCGCTCGCCGCGGGGCATCTCTGCTCTCTCGCCCGCATCGGCTGCATCCACGATCCACCAGTGGCGAATCTGAGCTCTCTCTCGTCCATCGTCCCCGACTCTGGTGACCTCGATCCGCCTGTCTGACCCTGTCTCCACTCTCTTCCCTTCTCCCTCTCTCCTCTCGACCACTCGCTCTTGATGAACTATGCGAGTTCGTTACCGTGTATCCGTCCGTCCCTCCTTCGCCGTTCATTGTCGTTTCTAATCGGTGTCTTTCCTCTAGGTGGCCCTCGTTATCTTCGGCACCGGGCTCCGGTTGCGCAGGTAATGCATGAACCCTAACCATAACCCTAGATCTGTCTTCTTGTGTCTCTAAGACTGAGTCACTGACCCTGGATCTGGATCTCTATCTCTCTGTTTTTCTCCTCCGCACAGGTCGGTTGCCGATGCCTCGTCCTCTTCCTGTGGCATAGATCGAGCACGGTGGCCGCGCGCACCGTTGAGGACCGGTGCTGGAGATCAGCCGTCCGCGGTCAAGGTCACCATGGCGGATGACGACTCGTCATCCACTCACATGCAACGATGACCTGATCACAGCAGGGCTAGTCCTCGAGGACGATGACGGTATCCGTGACGATGCTGTTGCGTTGTTGGGTATCGATGTCGGTAGCGGCTCTGCTCCGATCGATCTGGACGACGGCGACGATGGTGGAGGGGCGGCGCCGACGACAGGGACGCCAGTCGGCTCCAACAGCACAGATGGTATCTCATCTGTTGGTAAGCGTAAATCTAGTGTCTGGGTTAATTTTGATGAGATCTATGAGACTGTGAATGGTTCCCAGATTCGAACTGCTACTATCTGTAAAATGTGTAAGAGTAAATTGTCTGCTAGATCTTCTGTTGGCACTGGCCATTTGATTAGGCACCAGAAATCTTGTAGGAAAAAGGCTGATCACGCTGCTAGGGTTCAGTCTAGGCTTTCTTTCAATCCTAATGGATCTGTGGAGATGATGACCTGCATAAAGGACTGGGAGTTAGGAGAAAGAAGGGAACAACATGTTGTTGACAACCAAGAGCCGGAAGACACATTCAAGAACTTGTACCTTGATGAAGATAAAGTTGGTGGTGGTGCTCCTGGTACTCAGTGAGGTTGAGATTTGACTCTTGAAAGTGTGAGTGTGATCTGTGACTATGAAAGAGTGAGTGTATGTGAGTGTGGGACTGAGACAATGAGTGTGAGAGTATGATCTGTGAGAGAGTGAGAGTGTCTATTTTTGTGTATGTGAGTGTGGGACTGAGACTCTAAGTGTGAGTGTGATCTATATTGTGAGAGAGTGAGAGTGTATATGACTGTGAGTGTGGGACTGACACAGTGAGTGTGAGAGTGATATGTGAGAGACTGAGAGTGTATGTGACTTTGAGTGTGGGACTGAGACAGTGAGTGAGAGTGTGAGAGACTGTCTCTGAGACATGTCTATCATTTGAACAATGGTTTATAAGACTTAATTAAGAGCTGGCTGCACTCTTTTTTTCCTTTTTAGGGTTTCTCACAAGGGTGAGTTTTACATAGAAAGATTTTTAATGAGACAGCATTGCACTAAACAACTCATTTTGGTTATTTCTGTTACCTGTTGGCTTTGGAGTTTGATATCTCTGTTGGACCGTGAATGTATTGGACTATGATTCTGTATCTGTATGATTCTATGAATGAAATGAAAGTATGAAACTATGAATGTATTTGACTTTGATTCTGTGAATGCAAGGGTAACGGGCTGTGGGCTGGCACTGCCCGTAATTCTGGTCGTGCTTAGCGGGCCGGCACGGCATGAAAAACGACCCATAGTGCTGTGCCTGGGCCGAAGGCCAGGGCCGTGGCCCTAAGAGGCACGGCCCGGGAGGCCCGGCGTGCCGTGCCGGCCTGACCCCCATCAGGCCGTGCTTTCACGGGCCCGTGCCGGGCCGGCCCTTTGGCCATCTATGGTTGCACACAACATATATTTCTTTCCATAAATAAATATAGGACAGTCATGCATGCGGTAGGCCGCACAAACGATGTGGCTGCACACAACATATATTTCTTTCGATAAATAAATATAGGACGGCCATGCATGCGTTATGCCACATGCACGTCCATCTTCGTCCTCTCGCTCACCACCCCTCTTCCCCTTCTTCCTTCTCGTCGGCAGCTATTCTCCTCCTCACCCTCGCCCGCGGCCACGGAGCTCTGGCCAAGCCCTAGCGTGCCCGCGACGGTCGCCTTCCCTAGCCCCCGTGCCGGAGCTCCCCCTCATCGGAACTCCCTCGCCCCGAACTGGTCCGGCAGCCTCCACCATCGTCAGGTCCCCTAAACCGCCCGTCGGCCTCCCCACCGTCTGCCGCCAACACTCCTTCCCCAAACCCCTTTCTTTCTAAGACTGCCTGAGTTTGGGAAGATGAGAGGGAGAGCTCGTCGGAACCCTAAGGAGCAGATCCAGGAGGAGGAGGAGGAGGAATCCTACATCGCCAGATCCGCCATGGCCAGAGCTGGTGGGGGGAGGAGCTCGGCGTGGGTAGGGGCACGGTGGGGCGTGGTGAGGAGCTCGCCGCCGGATCCACTCACCGGAGTTGGGGAGTTGGGTAGGGGCACGGTGCGCACGCCCGTAAGTCATGGCCATAAGTATATATAACCATGCCATTACCAAAAGAAAAGCTCTTGATTTGATCAGAACTTCTCTCAGCCCTATGTTGTCGATAACAGATGTGTTGTCTTGCCGCCGCGTACCAGACATACCGGATGAGCCTCGCCTCAATATTTTTAAAACAATCTATCCCAAAAGTTATTTTCAGATCTGACATGTTTAATCGCAGTTTGCGCCGGCCCATATGTCATGATCGAATCACACAATCACACCACATACCAACGGTAAAGCTGCCAAGCTAGCATTATGGATCAAAAGTGGAGGCTCATGTCGCATCATTCCTTTGGCGCAACAAAGCTGTTTGGCATGATAGACAGGGGACACCTAGTCAAATCTCATTTTAAATAGAATTTTTGTCCGTCATAATAAATAATATTAGAATCTGTCTAGGCAACGTCGGTTGTTTTAGCCCCTCTTAAAAAAATAGATTTTTCCCATACACTTACACTATCTTATAGCTATATTTACATCACCTTATTACTAAATTTACAATGATTTCTTCGATGTAATTTTTTAACCATAGTGATGTAATATGAGGATAACATAAATATATAGCAAATTTTTCGAAAACAAATTACAAATTTTTTCAATGGATTTCATATATCAGATAAATATATGTCAAATTATACGCAGATTCTTCAGAAATTTCAAAAAAATACAAATTGTGGACGGGAGTGGGCCGACCGAGTGGATGGGAGAGGGGCCGACCTGCGCCAGCGCCAGGAACGACCGCCGGGGACGCCGTCCGCGCCGGGGAGGCCGGCCCAGGACGGCCGCGCCCGGGGCCTGGGAGCTATGCGACGGAAGCAGCGGGGAGCAGACCTATGCCTGGGTGGCGGCGGGCTGGACCTATGCAGCGAAGGAGGAAGCGGGAACCCGCATCTGGGCGGCGGCGGCGGCTTGCGAGCTCTGCAACAGAGGGAACAGGAAGCAAAATCGAACGGCTCAGATGCCAGCCTGTCTAGAACCTACGGCACAGAATCCGGTTGTTTTGAAGCTCCAAAACAACCGGTTACTGTGTAGCAAATCTGTAATATTATTATGATTTGATCCCACAAAACTCAACTATTTATTGAAGATAAACAAGTCAATTTAGTAACATGCACAAGGCCAAGTATCATAGATTTTGAAATATCTACTTTCAAAAAAGTAGGTCATTTCGTATGGTTGTGTTGCAGCTTTTAAGGGGAGAAACTATTTTACTTGCTCTCTTTGTCTATTCCAATCTATATCTATATCTTTTATAACTCTAAACCCCACTAGAAGTTCTATCTAGACATCTAAGTTATAGTCCCACTAGCATATGCAAATATGATATACACATCAACGACTTCATCCAGTAACTAGCTC